TCGCCCGGTTCGGTCAGGCTGTTGGGTTTAGTGAGGGTTAGGGTTAGGCGTAGGTTAAGTTTTAGGATTAGGATTTGCATTTTAAGGTCAGGTTTCAGTGATACGGTTGGGGTTTAGGTTCCCGTAAGGGTTACGGCTATGGTTAGGGTTAAGGTTTGTGTTAGTGCTAAGGTTAGGTTTGGAGTTAGGCTTAGGGTTAGGTTTAGGGTTAAGGTTATGGTAAGGGTTTGGGCTATGGCTAGATTTTGGGTTAGCGTTGGGTTTTAGGCTTCTGGTTACGTTTCCGTTATGAGGCTTTGGGTCAGCCTTTGCGGTTGCTCTCAGGGTTGGTTTTTAGGGTTGAGTATTGGGGTTAAATTTCTGCCATTATTCCACCCAGTTAAACCTTCCCAACACTTTCGCTGGTAACTTTGCTTTTTCCCAGAAACTCCAGCATTCCTCTACCAGCCCTTTTATTTATCTCAGGCATGTAACCCCCTTTCCCACCATTCCCGTACGACAGGGACCTGGCTGTCCGCCTCCCCATTCCTGGCTACCAACTGCGATCAAACCAAGCGAGTCAGGAGCAGGTTTAAGAGTAGGGCCAGGTCAGCGTTAACTGCAGTGTTAAGGTTCAGGGTAGGGTTATGGCCAAGATTAGAGCGACTGTTTTGTACTAGGATTATTATGGGATTTAGAAAGCAGGAATATTTTGCCTTTTCCGGAATCATACGCAGGTTCAACTTTATTACTTGGGCGGGGCGTTCCTTTTATCATCTCCTTTTAAGCGTGCCATATACAGTGCGTGACCTATCTCATGAAATGTTGGCTGAAATTCTGAAATGCGTTTTCGATTAGGAAGGATTACTTGGTTGCGGTTGTAACACTGATTATTTTAAGGCATAATCTTATAACATTTTAGGCTCGGCAGGATGTCGGCTTGAAAATGCACTTCTTTTCAATCTCCTGTAGAAAGCGTGCTTGCTAAAAAATGACTACTTAGGTAACATGCATTTTTCCCATTAATTTTCGATGGTCTTGCGAATGTAAATATATTTTATAGAAACCATAAACAAAAATATGCTTTCTTTTAGTCAATCAATAGAGAATAACGTCTTCTTTATATTTTATACTTAAGGAAGGAGTATAATTAGGTTTTAAAAAAGTTTCTAATTATGAGACTTTTTAAGACCGCGATATGTCCATTCACATAGCATCATACCTGGCCGTTTACCACTGCTCCTCATGAAATGTACAACATGGTCCGCATCCATGGCAAAATTTTATGGACCCTGTATGATATCTCTTTAATGACAGAAAAATATGGGATTTTCTTTACGCGGAACGCATGCACCTCGTAGAGTGTAATCACTAAGCGCTAATGCAACGAATGATCAGGCCCCAAATTTTTCGGCAATTAGAAAACGTTTTTAAAACCTAATTATACTCCTTCCTTAAGTATAAAATATAAATAAGACGTTATTCTCTATTGATTGACTAAAAGAAAGCATATTTTTGTTTATGGTTTCTATAAAATATATTTACATTCGCAAGACCATCGAAAATTAATGGGAAAAATGCATGTTACCTAAGTAGTCATTTTTTAGCAAGCACGCTTTCTACAGGAGATTGAAAAGAAGTGCATTTTCAAGCCGACATCCTGCCGAGCCTAAAATGTTATAAGATTATGCCTTAAAATAATCAGTATTACAACCGCAACCAAGTAATCCTTCCTAATCGAAAACGCATTTCAGAATTTCAGCCAACATTTCATGAGATAGGTCAAGCACTGTAAGTCAATCCTGCCTTACATTAATATTAAATCGTCTCCTACTTACATACGTAGCGGACTTGTAAATTCTTCGTTCATGTAGATGGTAGTTTTGAAACTTGTTGATCCTTGGATTGAAACTCCGAGCAAGGCTGACCGCCCTGAAATAACCCACATCAGACCGCACTGCCCAGCTCTCTTACACCTTTTTCATCTGAAAACCTAGATAAAAAAATCGCGAAATAAACGGCAAATTTTTTTCCATTATACGAAACCAGATTGTCATCCAAAACGAACAAAAAGTAGGCATTGATATTTTGGCAGATTTTGAATAATTCATATTGACCCAACTGTGAAAAACTCGGCGCCTCGGTGGGACTCGATTGGGTATTGGCGAAAAAGAACACATTTTTTGGGCAAATCACATTCAACTCGAGAAGTTGCTACACTGGTACTTGATAGGTGGCCGACTACGAAGGAGCCAAAACTTATGGAAGAGAACAGGAGTTTTTATGCTAGAAAATATGAAATACCGGTTTTAGTAGATGCTCCAATTTTCGAGATTGTGCGTTATTTAAAATGTACGCCACAAGACCAGCTTTCTGTCTACTGAAGACCGACCCTATAAACGCTGGTCGAAATACCGTTCGGAGACCATTGATTTGTCCTTGTATTGCAAACAAATGCCACGACTTAGAGGTCGATTTTTTTCCATTGTCTATTTTACCAGAGTTTACTATTTTTTCTTAATTCAGTTGTTTCCCCTTGATAAAGCAATTCTATTGCAAAATTATAATGAGCGCGATAAATTTATCCGACAGAGGACGTGGCCATCTGAATATCGACCTTAGTTCCAACTTTCATGTAGTCTCCGCTCACATTTTGACGGCCGCGATTTGGCAGACTGGAAGTCGCTTGGATCGGCATTCGTTGATTTAACCTGGTTCCTGAACGTGTCCGGCGGATCCGTTTTACCGCGAGGCCTCCAAAAGACCTCTCGCGGACGCTTGCACAGCAACTAACAATCAATAATTGGAAGCATTTTTTCTCGGGTATGAATTGAAAGCAGGCATGTACAGCAGAATTTAGTGGGGCCAATAATTTTCGTGACGGCTTATCACCTGCAGCCCGTCTCTGCATAACATAGGTAAAGAATGGAAGCGCACAGCAGTATGAATGTTTAACAGAATGTCAGTGCATAAGAGCTAGGTCAAGGTTCAAGGCGAACGCAAAGGCAATTGGCAACCAGGGCCGCTGAGCATTTGCCTAATTGGCTTTTCAAACAGGAAAACAAAATCCCCGTTCGTCTGTAACGAAACACCTGTTAGTTAGCGGTTATTTTGTTGAACCTAAAACAGCTTTTCGAGTACTTGTCCGAGCGCATACAACTCGAACCTGCGTTATTTGGAAGCAGCTTACATACGGAGGGAGAAACCAGACCTGTGCAAGCAACTAGACCACGTGGTCAATCTACAATTGTCCTGGTAACCTTCACGCCTCATGTTACTCGTGACTGCGATTTGTTGTTAACATTCCGTCTCCCTCTTTCCTATATGACGCTTAGACGAACGTCTTTCATCTGATTATTCATTGCTTTGAACCTCGACCTTGCTCTTATGCACTGACATTCTGTACAAATTCATACTGCTGTGCGCTTCCATTCGTTACTTATGTTATGCAGAGACGGGCTGCAGTTGATAAGCCGTCACGAAAATTATTGGCCCCAATAAATTCTGCTGTACATGCCCGTTTTTAATCAAAAATCGAACACACTTATGGAAAATGCAAATTTCCTGAAGTTAGGGAAGTTGAAATGGTGCGCTTCCACTCAAACGGAAAGTAAAAGTATATATCAAGCGACGTATTACACAACACAAGCATAAAACTTTGAGATTCCTAAAATTCAATCTATACTCAAGTTTTGCTCTTGAGGTTTTTTATTATACTCAGATCGCATAAATATCTTAAAAGTAGTAGAGGATTCGGTTACTTTAAGCCCTGGCACTGGAGTCTGTTCAAAATCGACTGTTCTTGCAAATGCAGCTGTAAGCTGACTGGAGACTTTTGTCAGTACCTTCCATAAACGATACGCCAGATTAACACTGGATACCAAGCATGAGTATGGAAACTGTCATTTTTATTGCATAACCTAATATAAACTAGCAAATATGCCTCCAGGTAGACATGGCGTAGAATTTATGGAATAATAAATAAATTTGGTACAGCCCGGTTTTAATCTAGTCATCTTAGTACTTAATGCGGCGCGTGCGCCTTTCACGTATATCGCAAACAAAATAGCATGCTCGAGACAATTAGTAAAAAATCGTGCAATTTTGCAACGGATGACTCTGACTCTTAACAGTTTTTTTATTATACGTAAGCAGCTCACTTAGAGTGCTAGAGGCTAGGTGCAGATAATTGTTTCACGGCCGTTATCGATCATCGGTACGTCATAGGCCATAGGTGCTTTCTAGTCGGAAACTGAATAAATTCGTGTCAATTGCTTCTACTACAAAGTTGGTTTGTAATAAAAGTGTATCAGTTTGAAAATCATTGCAGTTACTGTTCAGGGCCTTTCACGCTAACTCACTACAGTTCTCCCATGTTTTCTTGATGCGGTAAACATTTGATCTCCTTACGTAAGCGAATTCGACAAAAGTTTGTAATGCAACCTCTACTTCACTCCTTTCTTTAGCTTGTAGACATGGCCGGCGTCTTTTGCCTGGGATCTTTCGCTCTCCCCTAGTCTTAAGCTAGACTTTTTTAGCGCTTCGCACGTAGCCTGTAATCATACCCCATCGCCGTAGCCCACCAATATCCGAGGCCGTGGCCACACGATACGTCTACCGCCGCCTATCGGCCAAAGTGCATGAACCACCGTCTTTGCGCTCGTCGACGTTGGTGCCGTCAACAACATTTCCCTTCGAATAGGTACACGCACACTGAGCGAACCCGACACCTACAAATGGGTGCGCAGCAGTAATATGGATGGGCGAACGAGCGCGCGCCTACGCGTGGCAGTGGGGAAATCGATCGGGCAACTACTAATTTTGGTAGGTCCGACAGGACCACCCGACACCTGCATCTTCTGTCGACGTCCACTGCGCAGGGCGTCTGCTTATTGGTCGGTGCCACCCACGCCGAAATTGGCCCGCGCCAAACGGTCGATGTGTCAGAATTCAACTTACTTCCTGTCTAGCCGATTACACGCTAACACTCCCAGAGGAGACCTGTAATCATGGCGAACCGAATGGGTGATATGGGTATGGACGTGCAGGTTAATCGCAGGGTAAGCCAGTTCATTCTACTGTTCATCCCTTTCAATTTTCTTAACCTTCTTATGCTTCTTTTTTCTCTCATACCTGTAAGAGTGATTAAATTGCAACAAAATGAACTGTCAGCTGTCTTGTACTGCAGGTAGCATAAATATAAAAATGCTAACATTTCAAGTCATTTCTTGCAGGAAATAAACTCGATCATTGAAATTGTGGTTATTTACAGGCAATATCGCTCACTTTATTAAAGAGAGATGTTTGCATTATATAATGTGTATAATACATATTATATATGTTATATATAAAAATAATTGCCGCTTATAATTGTTTTGCTTACCGTAATTCGGCAAACGGTTGCTATGATCGCTTATTTTGCATGACTTTCGAGAAATGCATTTAAGCTCATAAAATTTAATTTACGTTTTTAAATAAGTATTATGTTTTGATTAATGCCATTGTGACCATTAGCCTAGAACACCATCCCAAAGGAATTCATGCCCTGTAGGAGACCAGTTTTAATTTTCCCATACTTCAACCAACCCCCAAAATCTACATTGGCAAAAAATCCTAATTCCTTAGTGCGGGATTCATGTTGATTTTCGCTGCCTGTTGGAACGCAGTCCATCTTTTGCAAACCTGGGTTCAAATTTCATTTCCTTTCCGACGGCAAAAACGATTGGCAATTATAAAGGCTGTTGTTTCTTCAGGGTATTTTTGGAGTAGCGCAGAATCTGCATAGCTCTGTATGATGTTTTGAGACTAGCCATACCACCCAGATCAATTTCAGTATTCTGAAAATATCTAACGGCCGTTTATGAAGCCTATAAGGGAGTATATTCTTTATAATTAGCACACATTATGCACGCTGGAGGACATATACGTTAGCGGAATCTCAGATAGGTAAAATGAGGGTGAAATAATAAAAGTGTCTTAAATCACACTGATACTTTACCTTAAAGTACAGAGATGTATGGAGATGTAAGTTTCACACAAATGAGTCCACGGGTAAAAGTGCTTTGGATATTTCTCAAAAAATGGATTAACTTAAATGGGCATTGAAAGTGAGTTAAAGAATCAGTTTTGTCATTTAGATTATTCGTCAGGTGATTGAAGAGATGCCCAAACGAAAGCTAGTTTCTGTGTATGACGCACACCACAAAATTGTTCAATATTAATGAGTGTTGCGGCCTTATTTAACAATATTCCTCACTTGAACCTACATTTACAACCTCCAGTAGACGCATGTCTTACGATTTCCCGCACTGAACGAGGAATGAATAATTATCAAAGGTCACAGAGTTTAGTACCATAACATGCATTTTTTAGCGAAGTTCTCTTAAAACTGTAGCATTTGAGCTGAACATGTAGCAGTCATAGGGCAAAAATCGATCAGTACTTCCAGTATTTTTGCGTTTATTCTAATATCCCAGGGAAGGTAAGAAGGTAGCTGAAGGTTAACAAGAGGGACTGTTGGTAAGTACATGAAGTCCCTCGTGCTGTGACGGGTCAGGAAGGGATACAGGAGGCCTTTATGTTGTGTTGAAAACTAGTGCCCGACTGAGTCCTCTAGAAAAAACGCCTTTTTCTGCAAAAAAAGATTTCCATATGAAAATAGTCCCTTTTTCCGCAAGATTTGCAAATCAAATAATTTTGCCAGCAGGCGAAATTGAAAACTAAAATGTTGACTTCTTACCTTTACAAGAGCTTTGGTGAACATCCATCAGGAAGTGCCTATAGATGCAAATACGGTTTTCCTGTCTCGGTTTTAGATGAACAGCAAGTATGATGCAGAAACCGAGAAGGAGGTCATCGATTGGATGAACAAAATCACTGGTGAGAGCGTGCCGCTAGGTCGCGAAAACGTTGCTGGGGCCCTGAAGAACGGCCATATTCTCATAAAGTAAGTAGTCCCATCTCAACCACTCCACACCCAAATACGTCCACAATTAACGCAGTGTAAAAAAGGACAAAAGTCTTTAACGATGCTTATCGGAAATAGTCCTTTAGGTGATGTTTTTTTTAATAAGAGATCAAAATGTCTGATTGCCATCAGAGCTGAAATCGCAGAAGGGAATGTATGTGTCCGAAGTCTGCATAAAAATATGACATAATAATTCAAAATAGTCCACACACCTTGGCATGCTTATCTTGGTCGATATATTGGAAGTCATGTGCAATGTTATTAGTAGCGACAAAATTAATTCACTGCTAATGTGCCACGTTGCTCTTCAAGGCCCTGATGAGGTCAGTTGATTTAAAGCTAACTGAGTTCGTCTAGAATTAATGTAAAAACTTGAAGCAAAGTTCTTAGGACGAACTGTTTTGCATTCTACCTAACTGTATATGAGAATATTGAGTCAAATTTCTATTGTTTCAACCAAGCAATTGGGCAATATTCTCAATCTCCCAACGGGCGTAAGTAGTACGTAATCATACATTGAGTTTTGGTTACCTTCTAGCGCAGAAAGCAATTTCTTGTCTAAAGTGAGTATTTAAAAGTACAAACATGTCGATGCCACAACGTTTTGAATGACTGTTTAGACGAATGTCCCTTTCGACCAGTCATAATCAGGTCTGTATAACTGCTTACATATGATTTTCCATAGGTATTGCTTGACGAGAGTCATGATTGTGGTAGGATAATAGGGGTGAAGGAGAAACGGATGGCTAGACGGATTGAAAAAGTATATAATAAGGATGGTGGTGATGAAGGCAACGACAAGAAACAGTAGGGAATCGCTTTCCGTAGGTTAAGAGGAACGAGTCGAGTGTGCGAACCTAGCTAATCTGCTTTCGTATCGTCTTTTGGGTTGATTTGGATGTCCAGTGATGGACTGCGCTGTGCGCTACTGTGGAGGACGCGCACTAATCACGTTATGGAACATACTGATCACATTTTGGCTTGGGGTCCGATCTAAAGGACTCCATAGGCAACCGCTCAGCGGCTATTAATACAGACAGAATGACGCTACCGGCAAGGAGAGGGAAAACTAGGATGGCCATTTGCGACTCAGTATTAACACTAGTCCTACCCAATCCCGGGTTAGAGCGTTTTGCTTCTAGCCAGCAGAACGCGCGTTTGTGTCTTAGGAGTTGTAAACTTAAGGTTGGGTTTGAATCGCTGATGACGACCAATAAGTCCGAAATGACCAATCCAGCCGTAATGTCGCCCTGTATGATTGGGTAAATGGATATTCGAAGGTTTTACAAACGTTTTCTCAGACTAAACGACAACATTTTCTGGTCACACAGTGGTCTCAGTCTCAACTGGCAAAGAATAATGAAGACCTTTTCGCCACTGACTCGATGACCAGTGTTCACCTCATCGATCAGAACAGCTCTAGAAAGAGTCTAGAATATGCCTTGATGAAGCAAACCTGGGCAAAGTTTGCGTATTCACACTGAATAGAGCTCTGTCATTCTCCCAATGTAGTCTTCTTCATAGAAAAAAGTGACCGAGTAGATGCGAATTGTTGGGATCCAAAAAGCAGCCCGTCTCCACCCTTTGGATAAGAAGATGGATCTCTAATGAAATTTGCCCAATTTTGGAAACTGGATGCACATGTGACATTGACGAAGTTCATTGACAACTCAGAGACTCATTTGACGGATCCCCGCTGAATTGAAGTTTGTGGAGAATGCCCTTTCTGTCGGCAGCATATGCTTCACGCATTCCTTGCGAAGTAAAGACTTTTTTGGCGTCCCAAAAGAGCATAGAGATCTGAATCAGGTTCCGAAGTAACTAAATAGATTTAGCTCCTGTCTTAAATGGAAATAACCGTGAAGGTTTATATAGTCCCTGGTCCACGCTTCTTTGCGATACATATTTAATCTGTCACTATCATCGACGCTCTGCTTGGCAGTCTGGAGTTCGTGGTAGACAATGTCAATTTTTAAAGATAATCGGCCAAGCCGAGCGTCCCACCAGCCCCTGAGAATGACACTATAGAGCATCTTTAACAGAAATTCATCTCATTGATAACCTGATTCTCGAGTTTCCTTTCAAACATATCTAGTAACAGCGGTCTTAGGGATAAGCTCATAGTTATGTCATCACTGTGCTGACAGGCGTATCGACTGCACGAAGATGCATCTGTTTTCAGTACGGCAAATCATTACACAATTGTATACTACTGGCTGCCTGTTGGCGGTTTGTGAATATTCCGCGGTTATTACGCCGTAGCTGATAGATTTCAGCCCAAATATTCATATCAGATCTCGGACCGTGCCTGTAGAGGTCTGTTTCGAAGGCTATACTCCAAGTTCGCTCATGGATTTCTGCGGAAATAAAACAAGGCAAGGCATCTCTCTATCTGCAATTGGATTGAGACTTTGTTCCTTCGACTAACTTTATGCATACAGTACATGTTATCTGTTAGGATATTACTGGAGAAGAAAGGTGTTGCCTTAAACGACGGCATAGTTTTTCTTAATCTAAAATCTTGTCTTGAGTGGTATCGTTAAATTTAAAGTTTCGCTAGGGACCGCAGGTGGATGCATTACGCCCTATTAGGTTTATGTTCCGGCCAACTTTTTCTTTATTCCATAATATAGTCCGTTGCTCACTTTTGCATACAATTCAGCTCGTCGGAAAGTTTTTACTTTACTGAGTCAATCGGTGTCTGTCAACCTACAAAGACATCCTGGACATTGCCTTTTCATGACGTCTATTTTCTTCTTCTTCTCGGCTTCGTCTCTGAACCTGGTCAGCTCTACAGACATTATTTCGACTTTTAGGAGTAATCACGTGAATAATTTTCTGTATCAACAATCCTAGATTCCCTGTTGTGTTTTACATGCCCTCGTGACGACGGTCAAACAGTTTCGACTGCCGAAATATTCCACTTTCATCACGATCGTAGGGATTATAACTCTGAGGCTAGCCGAAAAGATGTTCAAAGTAGACTTTCGCGTTTTGTCTGGTAAACTTGCAGCAAGCATGCTTAAATGTTAAACCCAGCAAAGGGACGTTATTAAATGATCTGCCAAAAGTCAAATCAGAGTACATATGCACAGAGCGCTACGAATTATTCGGGAGAACGATCCGCCTTTCGGATGAGTTGATCGCATGGAGAGTTTTGTCAGTCTTTCGTCGTCCCTTTCAGAGTTGGCATCTGAGCATAAATATCACCCTTTGCTTCTTTCAGCATTTCGATTCCTCGGAAGTAAATGCACTAACTTGAACCTAAACCTTTAGGGCAAAATTTTCTAGTTTCAGTCCAAAAGTCGGCAGGAATATGTGGAATAATACCTATCAGCTTCCGCGTCATAATCGCACAGTATTCAGAAGCCGTCCGCAGACAGTCCGAAGTACGCAAATGTTGCATGCAGCGGCTAAAAGTTGGAAAAAGTACGTGTCGGTGATTTAAGCTAGTGTCCTAGGTGGGGCACGGTTATAATTAGCCTGGTTTTGCAGGCGGTTCTGCGTTGAATTTCAGGTAGGTTGGGGGTAAGTGTTAGAACTGGAGATAGTTCTAGGATTAGGGTCAGAAGAGTTAGGGTAGGAGTTAGCACACGGAATCTAGCTCAAAGTCACCTGTAGTACATGGGGTGCACTTATACTCTTGTTCAGCGGCTCTTCTGTAAGTCTGTTGAACTAGGCAACAAACTGTCCCTTCCTCACATGTTAGAGTTTCTGTAGGTTGCGATGCGGTTAGACCACGCTGGATGTCATGTCTTTAATCCTGTTCTCATATTATCTCTAGAAGGTTGTTTTGGAAACGACAGTTTAATTCCTCCGGAAAGACATCACCACTTTCTCCCTTTTAAGCTCATTTCGGCCAGTTGGACGTTTTATCACATCGGTGACCCTTTTATTGAGCGCCAGAGTATTTAAAACAGCTTCTGGTTTCTATATTTTTTAGATAGGTAACTAATCGGTCGGTAGAAGATTCTGCATTAACATATGACTGGGCAGGCTCCCTAAACTTTTGATATGCTGACGCGCATCCGAAGCAACGAAATCTTTAGGTTTAAAAATCCAGTGGCCACTAAATGGCTGTATAATCCAGGCTAAGTATTATTTAATGGTAGGGCGCGCTCACAGATCGTTCTTACGGAACTCACTTGTTCCGTTGTGCCTTATGGACTCTCATTCGAGCCCAACCAGCAGCTGCATAGCGGCGCATGATATAGGCAGAATGTCGGTTATATCATTCTAAGTACGGTTTAATCATTTTTCTGCTTGCTAACGTTTATTTGGAGGCTGTTATGATTATAAGTAGCACAGTTTCGCGGACACAATGAGAATAGTAATCAGCAAACATTATTCCTACTTTCGTCCCACCTTTCTAAATTTCGTCCAAGCGCAAAGAAAGTAAGTGTGAAAATGACAATATGGCGGATGCATGAAAATGTGGAAGAAGCTAGAGTTTACACTACTCATGATATTCTAGTAGAATTAACTTCAACTCATCCCACAGAAAGCCTGCGATATATTCCTCCACCCGTCATTTCAATTCCTTTCCACATTAATTTGTGAATCGCCTTCTACTTAAGCAAACCGCTCGTTGGCGGTCTTATGCTCAGGAATATGCCAAAAATCGCTTTATTATCCTTCCCCATTAGACTTATCAATGCCGTCTACGCTGGGACCTCCCAACTGCCAGCCGCAGCACAGCGAAAGAAGCACCCGTTCAAGTTCAACACGATGACGGCTCCGTTCAAACAGGTAGGACCTGAACCTGTCAGCTTGGTAGACTACAGTTTTCTAAGTCGCCACCTTATGAGGTTAACCAAGGAACACATTTCTCTCTGCACGTAAAGCCTTGATAATGTTTAGTTGGCCGTTTTGCGAACACCGTTATGGCTGATAGAAGCGAACAGGCGAGTTCGAAGAAGCAGTTAGGTAAAAAAAGGTGCGATCACTGGAACAAGAAGTTTATTGGCCTGACGCTTCGGATTCCCATTCGAATCATTCAGCAGAGTGAGAATCCGAAACGTCAGGCCAATAAACTTCTTGCTCCAGTGATTACATCTTTTTCTTCTGAACTCAGTGATGGTTACCTTTTCGCCAATCTCACATCCAGAGAACGTAGGTACGGTATGTGCCAAGGCTCACATATTCTTAACCGAAATTTCCAAGGTGTGTTCGAGTAGGGAACGCCACCCCATGTATCAACAGTTGGGCGTCATGGAATACAATTCCAAAGTAAACCACATATAAAGAAATACCTATTCATGTTTGTGTCTCCTGCCAGCCACTTGTGAAAATCGCACTCACAAGAAAACCACTACTTAAATAATGGGTCCTGTGTTAGCACCGGTGTCCCTCGCCTCGTCCATGGTCTATCATATTTTCATAAAAAGTATGTGTAGCAAATCAATGAAAATGTAACTGCTTGTTGTCTAGTTAACTGATTCTTCCTTAAACACGATGCTTTAGACAAAAGGGCATTTAATTGTTGAGGGAACTTACTAATTCTCCTACACTTTTTAAAAAAGGTCTTACGGTTAAACTTGCACTTAGGTACTCGCAACACTAAATGGGCGTGTCCTTTACAACTGCCTCACGTAGCTGTATAAATGAAATGAAATGCGTGTCTTGATTTTTGCTCGGTGAATGTCTTAAAAATATGGTGAAATCATCTTATAGTTCCCATATTGTGTGCCCTGTGCTTTGGCTACACAAGTGGATTATACACACCTTTACGTCCACATGTAAAGGTCTCCGGGTGTTAAAAAAAAAGTGTTTTTTTAGCCACAGGGCACGCCACATACCGTAATAGAAGCCTTGACAAACAGAAATTCATTAATCAACTAGCACAGTAAAAAACGTCCATGACTGCAGACTTTTATAATACCAGGAGAAGTCAGAGGCACTTAAGCCGCCTAACCTAAGCCGCAGTCAAATCCCTAACACTAGCATTGCTCATGGCCATATAACTAACTGTACAAACAGACGCGGATCTAGATCCAACTACAATAATAACCCAATTCTTAGAATTCGTGGCTATGAGTATAACTTAGGCGAGGTCTGATCACGCAGCCCCACCTGAGTGATACCATATGGTAAGCATTCTAAAAAATTTCCGTAGATGCAAGTACGATGACTTTACAAATATCAGGTATTCGCATCTTCCCAACAATTTTAATCCACCGGGTGACTGTGCCACCGGGAGAGGAGTACGTATTCGCCAGCCTTGGTTACTTCAGTTATCAGTTAACTGGCGCTTCCCTGCGCGTGCTTCTAGCCCTGTTTGCGTCCACTTTATTATCTTAATCCAGCCAACAGTCAAGTAGGCTTGCTAATGTCATTGTTCGGGTGGTGTGGTACTCCGTCGGTTCCACTATGGTGATCCTGTACTGCGAATTACCACGCGGTTCCCTTCGTGGTCTTCCAGCTGTGATTGGTCCCCCCGTACCCTCTTGATCTAGCGAATGGCTGTGTAGGGGGTGTGTACACGCCACCTTCACTCGCGTCCCTGCGCGTGCTTCGAGCCCTGCTAGCGCTCCCTTTCCCTTCCTAATCCAGCGAGTGGCTAAGTTATGTTTGTTAATTAATATTGTTTTAGTAAGTTAACCATACGGTGTCACTCAGGTGAGGCTGCAGAACCAAACCTCGACATTACCTACTCCGAAATGTGAATAAGGCAAAGGCGACAAAGCAAGCAGTATTTACTGACGTCATAAATTTCGAGACCTCTCATTCAGCTGCACACAGTCATTGCACAGTTACACGACAGAGTCTCGAAATTTATGACGTCAGTAAATACTGCTCGCTTTGTCGCCTTAGCCTTATTCCACTTTATTCCGGGAAAACATTAGTTCAATCTACTCTGAAATACAACCGTTCGTCATGTGCAATATTTAAAGCCAAAATTTCGTGCCGTGCGAAGAAATGAACTGAAAGTTGCGTCTCCTTGCAAGAAAATGTTTTTATATTTACTGCGGTATTGATTTGCTCAAAAGGTTATTTAAGCAGATAAACTGAACGCATCCAATAAAAATTCAACAGATAAATGGGTGATAGTTATCTTTAGATTACATTCAATGTTGGCCAGTTTAACGTCCCCACCAAAGCAGGCTTTTTTTATTGAAAGCACGATTTTTCACTCCATTCAAAGGTCAGATATACTCGAATGGCCATTTTGGCATATAAGCTGATAACAACAGATAATACCCAAGGTTCTGAGACAACTAGTGAACCTAGGCTCAAATCCCGAGATAGACAACAGTTGAGGGGTAGCTCTCACTAACTAATGACGACCAATAAAGCAGAAGTGGTTTCTGTCACTGTCTTTGACGATGGGTTTAAGTGGGAATCTGAAATCTCGGACGAATAAAGCCCCTGTTCCAGCGATCGCTTCTACTTCTCACCAACTAGTTCCTGGAACTCGCATCTTCGCTTGTATCAGAAATGGTACCTCCAGTATCCCACTCCTTGTCCCTCTTCCCACCGGTCCCGTAAGACAGGTAACTGGTGGTTAGCCGTCCCAGGGACGGCTGCGAACTGGGATCTGACCCCGAACTCTCTGTCCCTGTCTAACAACTACGAACTGTTGGTGAATATTACTCCCATGCGGAATTCTGTGCGAGTCCTGGCGTATGCCTGAAGATGCTCTGTGATTGAATAAACCCGTGGACTCATTTAAGAGAAAGCTGGACCAGTACAGGGATATGTACCTCCACAGCATCATAAACTAACGAATGCCCCCCTGTGCCACCCATCCAACGTTTTATGTTACAAAGCATGCTACTCCCTATATTTTAGTAACATTACGTTTTACAATTTTCGCTATCTCCTGACCGCCACATATGCGCTTGCTTTGATATTACTTGGTCCATTCAGTTCCGTAGTGGAGATTGTACAATTTTGACATAGAAGGCATTCACAGACAAATCCGTACCAGTGACCAATGCTTGTTGTATGTCATTACTTACCTAATTTTTTTTCACACTTGTCTTACACATTGTTTTTCATGACGTTATTGTAACCAAAAGGGAGTTCAAAGGCGCTCGCCTACCTTTACCTTAATAAATCTGATCTGATCTGATCTGATCTGTGCATCGATCTCTTCCTCTTCTTTTTTTCCCAGATGGAGAACATCCAGATTTTCCTGACTGCCGCTGAAGCGTATGGCGTGCCGAGGGCCAGCCTCTTCCAAACTGTTGACCTCTACGAAATGCGAAACATGACACAGGTCTTGAACTGCCTTCTCCAGCTTGGTACTGAGGTAATGTCCACAGGCTTGTCGCGCCGACTTTAAGTCCATCGGCTTGCATTTCCAGTCAGTCTTCTTGCGGGTTGTTTTGCTCACCTGGTGGATGATGTTTCCCTAGGTAGTTTTGATCTCTAACAATTATTCTGCCCCTTCTAAGACACAGAGTGCTCGGGGTATATGTGCTTGTCAACTTGAGGTTTTTTTAAAAAAGTAAATCTTTGTTACCGATCTCATCCGATAGGTCGTTCCACGGTGGGATAGGCGGCCGTCGCGACTGTGCAAACTTCCCCAGTTGTCTTTACCATATTTAATTTCTGTGACGTGCAAGGGAGGGGAAAGAGAAATTAGCCTTATTTTAAAAGTATAAGTACAACATTTTCAGCAAAAATGAGCTCCATTCACTGTGGACTGAATACAACTTAACAAATTATCCAAGAGTCAAAAAGGTTAGCACAAAAACGAACAGCTATTAAGGGGAGAGTCCAAGTCTTAGTTTTTGCATTTCTGTCTCTTCACACGTAAGATAGCGCGCCAGGAATTGCAATACAGAATGTTGATATGCCGATGTACGGCAAGATATATGTCGAAAGCCAAGGCGCATGGGGTGGGAAGACCTCGCGGAGATTAGATCAGAATGAAGGGGATGAGCAACGTCATCCAAAATTCGACCAGCAAATTGCTCAACCGTTTTCAAATGTCGTTGTTTAATAATATCGACTAAAAAGACATAAGGAACACAGCAGCAGAAAGGAGCATTCAGAGGGCTCGATTCAAAATTAACATGCATTCCTTAAGCAGAGCAGGACAAAAGGACAGGAGAACAATAAATAACGAAAAGAAGAATTTATGGACCTATGAGTCGCCAGATTTAAGGTTCAGGTGTGTGGTGTGAACGTAAGCGACGAGTGTAATCAAGAAGTTTAGGAAATTTAGTGAAAAAGGTCTTAATATAGAGGGAACATGGAAAACATGATGACAAGATAACGCCAAGATACCTGGAAGAGTATGCCTCGTTGGGAAGGATGTCAGAGGATTGATGACTTGGAGAGGGCCGCAGTTGGAAAACACAATGGGCTGATCTCTGACTATTCAGTTGGAAAGACTGAAGATGAGTCTGGTTTTTAGACAACCACATCGTCCGCATACCTACCTAACAGACAGTTGTTTGAGGATCTTGAATCGTCAGTATGGAGAGAGAAGAGATGAGGGGATAAAATGAAACCTTGGAGAACTCTATAGTTATTGAGAGGGATCGTGGATTTCCGCTTGACGGATTGGATAAATTGAGTGCGAGAAGTAACATACTCACTGAGCCAAGAGGCAACCCAGTCACATGCGGATCGTCTGATAAGGGGAAGATGTCGCGGGACAGTGTTAAAGGCGGAAGAGTAGACAAGAAAAACATACGCGTACGCACGGCAATATCCCATCGTCTAAGTAAAGAAGCTAGCTTTCTTCTGAAACGTCAGGATAACGAACACAGTTCGCAGAACGTCCTCCATTCCTCATTCTTGCCCAGAGAAGCCCACTGATTATTTACTCAAACATTTATCTCTGAATTCTGTTAGTAACAACAGATTGAGACAGCAGAATCTAGCTTCCTTGAAGGATCCTGATTATGACAACGAGGTCTTTCCAAACTTGATGGTACTTAGTATATATTTCACGGGGCCACAAAGTTATGTAATATTATCTTAGCAAACCATTCCAGCACCGTGCTCGAGGACATAGCATGAACACGACAGCCAAGCCGACTGGTAGAAACACTTTGAATTTCTTCTTCTTTTGAGATTGGACTAAATTAACCCTTTTTCAGGTGCTAAGTTTGCGACTCCGGTCGAACGTAAGGTGCCTCCTTCTTAGTATATGCCAGTTAAAATCCTCGCATGTCTGGTTTGTTGTTTGGATTCGAGCATTAAATACCCACCGGTCAGACATATGGAATGGACAACTGGGAATTCATTTTCACGATGCGAGCCGTTTGGCCAAAGACATCTGACGAACTGTAGCCAGTGCTCACGCGCTTCCACTTCCCCTTTGTAGTGCCAGCGCAACAATTTCAACGGCCCAGTTTGCGGACCCAAGCCGACCTACGAGAACAAGCGTGAGTTCACGGCTGAACAGCTAAATGCTTCGAAGACTGTCATTGGCCTTCAGGCGGGCTCCAACAAAGGCGCGAGCCAATCCGGTATGAGCATGGGCGCTACTCGCCACATTGCCGACATCAAGGTCGACGACATGTCAGCCGACGCAAAAGGCGTGATTGGTCTTCAGTATGGCAGTAACAAGGGTGCCAGCCAAACTGGAATGAGCATGGGAGCCACCCGCCACATCGCTGACCTAAAGGTCGATGAGATGAGCGAGGCCGGTAAAACCAGCATTGGTCTCCTGAGTGGCACCAACAAGGGCGCCAGCCAATCAGGCATGAGCATGGGAGCCGTTCGGCACATTGCTGACACTCGGGTCGGCGAGATGAGCGCCGAGGGCAAGAGCACGATTGGTCTTCAGGCGGGCTCCAACCAGGGTGCTACTCAGTCTGGTATGAGCATGGGTGGCGTGCGTCACATTGCTGACATCAAGGTCCAGGATATGTCCAAGGAGGGCGCCTCTGTGATCGGCTTACAGGCCGGCTCTAACCTTGGCGCCAGTCAGTCGGGCATGAACTTCGGGGCCCAGAGACACATTGGTGATGTCAAGGTCGGCGAATTGGAGTAACTTTGAAGTCCCCCAGAGAAGCCATCCAATGGTTCATTTTGAAACATTTTGAGCATGATCTGGTTAAAAGAGCAAATTATCCGATACGATGACTAGCTGTGCTTTGTGCACCTTTCCCCTGCAGCCGCTTTTCCTGACATTTTCGTTTTCCTTCTTTCCTTTCACACCTCTTCAGGGCGGCTGGTTGTGTCCTCTTTTTCATTTTGCGCAAAAAGCTACACTTGCCGGCTAGTTTCGCTTTTTATTTGATTATAGCGACGTGAACCCATTTAGCGATTTCAATGAACTGGTTTTTGGAATTGACTCTCGTTCGATGATAGAAGAAAAGCCTGGAATGACGAGTTTCAGGCAGTAACCGAGAAGATTTACGCCCAGTCGTTGGAATAGGGCGGTTAGGTGGTCGTGTTCTTCAGTTCGGTCCAGTTTACTTAAAAGAACTGTAGGCGTATGCGGTTAGATCGCAGTTGGTAGCCAGGAATGGGAATTGGACGGCGACCTAACCCTAATTCCAACCTTAACCCTAACCCTAACCTCAACAGTAAACGTTAACCGTTAACCCTAACGGCAACCCTGACCCTAACCCTAAGCGAAATCGTAAACGTAACTGTAGCCCTTAGGCATAGGCGTAACTGAAAAACCTAACCGCATTACTGAAACCTGATCGTACGCTCAAACCCTAACCGTAACCCCAAAAACCTAAGCCTAAATGCATAACCCTAACCCGACAATCGGAAACTATTAACCGGTACCCTAATCCTGACCCCAGCCGTAAGACGGAAGCCAAATGGGTCACATGTGATTTTGGAGCCCCACAAAATAGCCTCAGAAAACAAACCCCCCAGCCACCTGTAATGCGGGGCCTAGCTACCAACTGCGATCTAGCCGCGTATGTTCTTGAATCTTGTTCCGGTGCACATTCTTGAGCATATCATCAGTGACACAAAGGCGGAGAGATTTCGACAGGCAAAAAAGACCGCAACTCGTGACTCACATACCCCTTGTCTCCTGGAAGGATGCCAGTTTCAGCGACCTTGAAAGTATCATCAGACAGTGACTAGGCGCTGCTTCTTTACCTGTGAGGCCATGTCCATTCCCCAATAACGGGCATTCGGCTATTCGAGTTTGTGGCGGTCAAGGTTGTGAGATTAACTTAAACCACGCACAATAAGTTCGTTTCGTCTAATGTCAGAAGTCAGGGAGCTGTGAGGACTAGTTTATTCTGCACGCAGGGCAGATTGCCGCCGTAAGTTGACTGTTTGCTTGCGACAGAGATAAGCGTCCGTTCACGGAGTGTCATTCGCGGTGTGTTTTCGCTGGAGTGGGTGTCTGTGTCAGCAGGAGGGGGTAACTGGCTGAGTGTTGGTCGTGCGATTGGACAAATCAGGGGAGTAATAAGGGGCGCATGCACACAATGCCTCACGGGTATCAAGCCAGGGTGTTAGACGAGCGTGAGGTGGGGAAAGTTTGTGAGGTCAGCCGACAGTCACTGAAGTTGGACCGGAGGTGTCTGAGTGTTAGCCGGCGGGAGTGGCCGTGTGTCAACAGCTGTCGCGGCCATTGTTTGACAAAACGGAGCCGAAGAAAAGGGGGACTGGAGCGGCTGCTACAAGTTAAAGGCAGTCATGCTAGTTCTACAATGAGATTGTTTAGCCATAACTACATACGATTAGGCGGTAGAACACGGGAACGCATACCCCTGTAAGACAGGCGGCTTTACGTCAAATTGCAGGTTAATGTCTATCTCCGGGTCCTAACCCTAACCCTGCACTAGCCGTAAGCTCAATTTCTTTTAGAATTTAGCGCGATTTCACCTGTAATACAGGAGTTCACCTGTTGGGCAATACATAATGTAGCGTTTACATATATGCCGTTATGTAGCCTTTCGAAGTAGAAGAGAGCGTTCTACCAAGGGTGCCCAGCTTGGTTGCATAAGCCACCTACTAAGGGCCTACGACTGCCATCAAGGGTGAGGATTCCGAGTGTTACAGTGTGTATAATTTGTGGAGTGGCGAGCGTGGGTTCGCGTAGATATAAGTAGCAAAGTCATTGCATGAAACGCAGGCTGATCAGGACGGTTATCGAAAGCAGTGTTCAACAGCTCGCTCTCCGTGTGACTGCTTACTCTGCCCAATCAAAATTCTGCCTTGTTTAATTTCCGAGGAAATTTACTGCGAACTTCGAATAAATCCTTCGGGACAGACCTTTTCAGGCACGGTCATATGGAGTTCATATACCAGAAAATACACAGGAAAACTGGGAGACCCAGTGATGAGCCGAACCCCTCGCAGCTGGGTCAGGCAGCGACACAAGATCGGCGAAACACGCGTGTCAGGGCTTTCAGCTTGCACCTGCATTGTCAGTACGGCAAATAATCGCGCACTCACCGCGTTTTGTTGGCGTATCGCAGACCGAAATACTGAGACTCAACCAGCCCGTAACTTAGGTTGCACTTAACTCTCGCGAGGAGTATAACCTCGTTCAGCCTGTATGTTGGGTGGTGGTCCCACTAAATGAGCTGATCCACTGGAATTGGCATCATCCTATTCACTTCTTATGCGAGTTGGCCATCCGAATCCTCAGTAGTACTCTGCTTTCCCTGATCTATTTACTCTGACAGCAATTACAGCTGACTTAATAAATGATTCTGGAGGTTATCTTCTTTGACAGCGTCCCACTCGACCCCATCAGGTATGGCCTTATAACGCCCTGTCGTCGACATGCAGTCCCGAATCCGAGGGGAGTAGTGATGACCCTTTGGATGCCCTTGAAGTAGCGGAGTGCTCGCCAAGATTTGGAGCAAGCATTGTTAAGTACTCCGCACTCCCGAGTCCATAATTTCGGTACGTGTTGACTGAAGACTGGGTATGCGCGCTGTTGCAATACTGTCTCGACTAGGGGTTCAAAAATTGATGAGCCCATTAGTATACCTTTCATCTGCCTGAAAACTGTTCCGTCGAATTTGAAGTATGCTTCCAGACGGGACTCCAAAGTTTTCGGATTTGGGCGTGTCCGAGTCGATTCTGCCCATCATCTTTGTTCCCTTGTAGGAGTCTCAGTCGCCGAACTCGGGGGGTAACGTAGATGAGAAAGATGGCATCTAGGCTTATCATGATTTCATTTGGCAAAAGGATGCTTTTTAAGTCCCTCCGACACCTTTGGCGACGAAGCATTCAGAAGTATGGAACATCTGGAAAACGTGCTTCGAAGTCTTTAGAAAGTCTTAGAGTAGAGCCCAGGGCGTTTCATGCGCTCTCGCATACGTCATTTCTCCATTTTCAACAAGCTATAAAAAAGTTCACTTGAAGCAAGCATGCATATGATTGCGCATATGCGTATGCTTGTGAAACCTGGGAAGTGGTAGTTATCCGCTTCAGATAAACACTACGGCATGTTTTTCATGACATATCCAGAAGTCGGTATATAGAAAGGCCTTCCTCGTACGCCAGTTGAACTTCCTACGCTTAATCGCAAAGTGGCTGCCTTGAAGGATTGCAAGATCTCATCTCTCCCAAAATACCAACAGGCCAGCTTCATTAACCGCCGGCTTTATCCCACTTTTGCTATTTGCGCATAAATAATTGCACTGGTAGACTTTGGACAAGGAAAACGCTCACCAACGCTACCCAAGTAACTTAGCCATTTTTGGGGTAAAAATATATGACCTCAAACTTTTCAAAGTTGCTAGGTGAATTCATGAAATCACATGAACTTGGGTAGGAGCGTTTTGCTGCGTTTTCAGTCGGAGACGATTACGCGCAGGAGGTCACGAAACTGATAATTATTTAGAGTTGTGAAAATTCGCATAGCAGTAATCAAAAGACGATGTGGCGAGCATACGTAGCTTTTGATGAATTCTCCTCGGGCCAGTACAGTTATTTGGGAACGGTGGTGGAGGGGCGTTCCCCGATCGTTTTTTTACGGAACTCACCCGTCCCGTTCCATACGTCGGGGTTGGGTATTATTGGCTGAAGACGGCTAATGAGCTAGAAATAGCCATTCCGATTTTCCTTGTCTTTGTCGGTGATAACATTCTGCCTATATGGGAACGGGGTAGAAGGAAAAACATGTCTGTGATAAGAGACATCGACTAAAGTTCGTCTTAAAACACCGGCGGGATGTTGGAATGTGGGGGAGGGGGTGGGGGTAATAACAGTGCCAGGGGCGGGGTGAGAGCGGAAAGACGGGGGGAGTTGCAGCGTTAATCGACCTTCGACCATTGTAGGCGCGTAGCTTGAACGTGGTTCTTCTGTGCGCATAAGGTTGGCTTTCGTAACCTGATGGCGGCCGCTTCTGCTGTTGCTAATAGGCGCTGGCATAATAGTTTAGGATAGCTCGATGGGACCTTCTAAATCACACAAAGAGCCTCGCTGGATTCCACACGATGTCCGGAATCAACAACATGCGCGAGAACGGCGCAGCTTGTGCTCTTAGTTACGCCTTTTCCCAGCCATGCCGGGAGGTGTTCTCGTATTCTCTTGGATAAGCGCCGACTTGTGCGAACAATATAACCTGCTCCACAGGAGCAAGTGAAGGAATAGATGCAGATTGGGGTGGTCTGGGGTGGCAACTTATCCTTACCTTCTCCGCGTTAATTGGGATACTGGAGAATGTTATTTGCGCCCTTGCTTCTGGGAAGGTTCGCAAGACTACTTGATCAAGGCGTCTCCTTAGGAGTTCACTAGCAGTGCCCCCTTGAAAAGGGGCATTGAGGAACAAAGTTTTCTTTTCGAGAGTTGGTGTGGCTGACTGGAAAAATGCAAAACTAAGAGCATAAGCAGCGCTCTTCTCGCACATTTTGTTAATTCCGGACATCGTATGGAATATAGCGAAGCTTTTTGTGTGATTTATAAGGTCCCATCGAGCTATCCTAAGCTATTGGGCCAGCGCCTGTTTGCAACAGCAGAAGCGGCCGCCATCAAGTTAAGAAAGGCAGTCTTGTGCCCACAGAAGAACCGCGTTCAGGCTCCGCGCCTACAGTGGTCGAAGGTCGACTAACGCTG